AATAAATATATTCATATTTAATAAAAATAATATAATTTAAATTAAAAAATATATAAATCCTAATTCTTTATTTTTTATTATTTATGAAGTCCTCATTATCACATTATTTAAATTAATAATAATAATATTACATTAAAAACAAAATATAATAATGCTAAATGATAAATAATCATAATAAAAATTAATATTTATGAAATTTGATAAATCAATATATAATTTGATAATCAATAATGTATCAAGTCTCATATTTCTTTAAAATTTTATAACAATTTAAAAAAATATAAATAAATTTAAATAAAAAATATAAATAAATATAAATAATGAATCTTTTGAAAATCATTAATATTTTCAAAAATAAATTTTTTTATAAAATTAATATATTTATTTTATTTAATTTCAGTTTAAAAATATTTAATTCTTAATAATATAATTCTTAATATAAAAAACATATTTTTATGCTTATATAATAATATTTCATACCTGCTATTGTAACAGCTGTGTTCTCATTATCAATTGCATCTGCCAATACAGATTTATTTGCAGCTTTACATACTTTTAAATGTTTATTTATTCGACTTTGGGCTTTATGATCTCGCAATGCTAATAAATTCTAAATAATAAAACAATAATAACATTATAAATTTATACAATTAATAAATAAATATATATTATAAATATATAACTTGAATAAAAGTTTAATACCTCTCTTTTTTTTTTTTCTTCTAATGCTTTCTGTCTTTCTTCTTCTTCTTTACGAGCTAAAAATTTTTTTATATTTTCGGAAAGTGATTTGCTTTGTTTAGTTGGTTTTTTAGGTGGAGAGAATTTTGTTTGGTAACAAGCAATCGGCTAAAAAAAAAAACAAAATATAATTTTATTAAAAATAAATGATTTTATAAATAAAGAAACATTCAAAAAAAAATATAATAACCTGCTTGTTATTTTCATTTTTTTGTGCCACACTTAGCAAAGTACCAAAATCCATTTTAATAGTAAAAACAAAGAATATAATAAATTATAGATATTTTTCATGACATATTTATCATATTTGCACATTAAGTTCACATTTTAACATTTCATCATAATTATTTAAACATTATTATGTGCGAGTTCGTTCTATAAATTATCAATAAGTTGGACGACAAAATTTACAACTGATCATATAAATACTTTCGAACGCTTACTAGAAACAAAGGTCTTCGAAATAAGAACGAACTAAATGTTTGCAAGATATTGTCACAAACAAATTAAAGGATAGATCTACCACCGTATGAAATTTTATATTTCATGTTCTGAATAGAGTTACTAGAAATCAGGATAAAGTAGGCAGCGACATCAAAGAATAATAACATAAGAAAACATAGAACGCGCATAGAACGATACATAATCAGATTTTCATTTGTTAGATTACTAAATGACCGAGCAATGCGAGCAATGCATATGTCAGAATATTTTGTGAGGTCGTTATTTTTCTTATTTCTTATAAAAACAAAAATATAATATATCTTATATAGATATTTAATATCTATATCTTATTAAATAGTGAAACACATAGTTGTTTTGAAAGAAAAAAATAATCAAAGTGTATTTAATTCGTTTATCAGATAAAGAAAGTAAATAGCAAAAGAATAGGTTAAAAATTGTAGAATCAATGCCATCTTCAGTGTAGCAAATGAATATAAGTAAGAAAAGCAAATAGTAAAAGAAAGATAAATATATAATATATAATATATATTAAAAATTGACAGTATCATCTCTTAAGTGCCAAAAATATCTTTCTAAAAACACTTAAAAGAAATGATCCCTTTTATTATTTGATTTATTTGATTTATTTGATTTTATCTTGATTTTGGAAAGATATTTTTAGATGTTTTTGACATTCAAAAGATGGTACTGATAGTCAATTCTTATTTTATTATTTTTATCCTACTATTTGCTTCCACATTAGTTTCATCTGCGGCACTCCATATATGGCGCTAATTTTCATATTTTTATTCTCTTTTTTTTCTATTTTCTCATCATTTATTCTCCTTGTTTATTTGTTCTGCAAAATTTTTACTCAATTTTGTTTATATATGATCTCAGTTTAATTTAACCGCTCTAAGACAATATATGTATCATATATGTACAATAAATTAAGTTAAAATCAATCATAATGATATCTTAAAATATAAAATGATATCTTAAATGCATAGTCGGCAGTTTATGACATTTATATTAAAAATATAGTTTAAATCTAAAATTATTACAAACTTAATTTAAATTTAATGAACTTTTGATTTTATTTGTGTTTACAAAAAAAAACGATTACTGATTCATTTAAGTGTATCAAATCAATATTGATATTATAATATCCTTTTTTATATGTTTTTATAAATTATTAATTTCTTGACATTTTTATTCTCAATTTCTTTTTTAAAATTCTTTTAATTTTTTTCAAGTTCATTTGATCGCTCATTTTTTAAATTGTTATTTTATGTATACATCGCAACGAAAGATTTAAAAACTCTAAAATCAATGATGAAGCAGTTTTTCAAAAACTTTATCACTTTTTTATACATATATAAATAGTGCTGAATTTTTTTAAATCTGTGCCTGAAATATATTGCGTATATATCATACCATTAATTGTATGAATTTTATCAATATGTGTACTTTAATAGAAAGAAATTCAAAAACACAGGTATATATAAATATTATATATATTAAACTATTAAAATAATAATTTATATTGAATATTTATTTTTATTATTACAAAAATGTTTTTAATTTTTTATTTGCAATAGATAAATATTTGAAAATTATGTATAATAATTGTTCCTTTCAAATATAATACTTATTCTTAATTGTATGGTGAATGAAATTAACTAATTAAATAATTTTTATATGCTTTAGGAAAGTGGCATATGTCAAATAATATTTGAAATGTCAACCAGAATTTTAAAACATTTTTTGAAATGTTCGTTTATCCAATTTCATGTAATATTTGACATATTAATAGATTTAATTTTTGGATTATATTATAAAAATGATATACAAAAAGTTCCTCCAATCAAGAATAACTTAGTATTAATGAGCGCATCAGAATTGGCTGAAAAAATCAGGTATTTAATAAATTTCACTTTTGATATTATATTTATATATAATATCAATTTTTTAATATTATTTATTCAATATATTGAAAATTAATTGTATGAAATATAAAGTACAAAATATTCAATTTCTGATTCAAAATATTTTTTATTAAATTTATGAAAATGAAAATATACAACTAATTAGAATCTTTTTGAATACTTTACATATATACTTTACATAATTTTTGATTAATGATCATTTGATTATTTATTTGATAGTTATAAATGTGCTTAAAAAGATATAAATGTTTATTTATTTATTAAAAAATATTTCATTTTTTTAATAAATAATTTCTTAAATTTAATTAGAATTAATTATATTTAATTAAATATATCAATTTAATAAATTAATTAATTTAATAAAATCAATTTAAAAAATAAATAAATACAATAAAGTAATCTTAATACAATAAAAACAAATAAATCAATTTAAATGAAGATTAGATAAGATTAAATAAATCAGTTCAAAATTTAATTGTTATATATATTTAATTAAAAGAACTTTGTTGCAAATCTAATATAGTTATTAAAGCTAATTAAATTTTTAATTTTTTAATATAAATTTAATATAAAATTAAATTTATTATGTAAATGGTTTTATAGAACAAAAAAAATATCATCATTAGAAGTTGTAACGGCATTTATAGAAAGAGCAAAGGAAATAAATGAAATAATAAATGCAGTTGTTGAAGATAGATATTCTGATGCTTTAGAAGAAGCTAAAGAAATAGACAAACTTTTACAATCATTAGAAAATTCTGATTTAATAAAAGAAAAAAAACCATTTTTGGGTGTTCCTTTTACGACAAAAGAAAGCAATGAAGCAAAAGGTAATTTAAATATATTGATAGTTATTTATATTAATGAAAAAAACCTAAAAATTTGAAAAGAATTTTTAATTATATTTTTTATTAGATTCTAAATAACTTATTTATTATTGAATATTGTATTTATTTTTTAATTATTTAGGTATGCTTCATACAATGGGTTTAATAAGTAGACGTAATTTTCGTTCTCAAGAAGATGCAACAGCAATACATCTTATAAAAGATGTTGGTGGAATTTTAATAGCAAAAACAAATATTCCTGAACTAAATTTATGGACTGAATCAAGAAACAATTTATATGGACAAACATGTAATCCATATGATACCACTAGAAATGTTGGTGGAAGTAGTGGAGGAGAAGCAGCAATTACTGCTGCTTGTGGAACTGCATTTTCTGTTGCCAGTGATATTGGTGGTTCTATTAGAATGCCAGCTTTCTTCAATGGAGTATTTGGATTTAAACCAACTGCAGGTTTTTATATTTTATTAACTTACAAATTTCAGATATTACTATAAGATGTTTTCAAAATTATGATATAATTATATAAAATATATATATATATAAAAATATATATAATTAGAAAAAAAATGATTTAAAAATATAATATAAAATAATATAGAAATATTAAATGAGTTAGAAAATTGCATAAAATACAATTTTTTTGCAATAGAATTCTGTTTTTGAGAAAATTGAATTTGAAAATTTATTGAATATAAACTTTTAGGTAAAATTTACTTCATTTACTTTTAATGTAATTAAATCATTTTTAATTGTTTATATTTAACTATTTCTAGTTATATTTAATAATTTTATAATGCAAGATTTTAAAGATAATAAGATTAATTTCAAAGATTCTATATTTATAAACAAAATATTATTCAAATTCTCATATTCTTTGAAATTTTGAGATTTCTTAAATCTTAATATTATTCAAAATTTCGATATTTTCAAGTTGCAAGATACTCTCTGAAACTCCATGCAACATTCCTGTTTTCTTGAACATCTCTGATAATAATTTTATATAAATTAATAATATATGATTAATCATTACTAATTTAAATTACTAAAAATAATTTAAATAATTTAATTAATTTTAGGTTTAACACCACTAAAAGGTATTGGACTTCGACAAGAAGATTATCCTAATTCAATGGCAGAAGTAGGTCCAATATGTAAGAAAGCAGAAGATTTAATACCTCTTTTAAAAGTTTTAATTCAAGATAAAATATCATTACTTAATCTTAATGCAGAAGTAGATATAACACAACTTAATATTTTTTACCAAGAAAATTCAGGTGATATAAGAGCAAGTAAAATAAATTATGAAATGAGAACAGCTCTATTAAAAGTTGTGCAACATTTTAAAGAAGTTAATGGATCTATAACAAAAGTAAGTTTATTATATATTATAAAAGTTGTATTATTTCATCAGCACTTGATAATATATGTGATATAATTTATTGATTTATAATCATTCATTTTAATTATAATTTCATTTATTGTTATACATACATAAATTTATAGTATTTATTATATCATATATTTATATTATATATTTATTATATCATATTTCATATATTACATTTTGTTTTTTGATTTTAAACAATTTTAATGATATATTTGCATTACAGATAAAAATACCTGGTTCTGAATATAGTTATCGGTTATGGAGATTTTGGATGACACAAGAAAATATGGATTTCAAATTAAATATAACAAATAGAAAGGTATAAATTTATATATATAAATTTTATATATAATTTTATAAAGATATATTATATTACATATATACAATGAAAAGAATTAATCAAAAAACTATTAGTTTGCTTGCTATCTAAAATCATATAATGTGTATATATATATATATAATAACAAAAAAAATAAATAGAATATAATAGAACATATTAAGACCGAATTTTTTTTTTTAGTATCGTACAAGTGCTTTTACAGAAATTTCAAAATTGTTAACTGGAAAGTGTGAATTAACGTTTGCTGCAATTCTGAAATTAATTGATGAAGATTTATTTCCTGTAGAAGATCCTAAATGGGCAATGAATGTTACTACAAATATGAAAAACTATTTAATGGTAAGATTTTATTTAATATAATTTTTTTATTAAGTAATTATAAATTATAAATTTTTCTTAAAATATTTATCATTTGAGATTTATTTACAGAATAATTTTTTCGTTATGTAGGAAAAAATAATTATTTCAATAAATATCTAATATATTTAATTGGATATATTGGATATATTATGCAACAATTTATTAGCAATATATAATTATTTATATTATTCGCATTTTCTTTGATTCTTATAAAATTTTATAAGATTTCCTAAAATCTTAAATCATAATTGATAATAAATAGATATAAAGATATATAAAGATAATAAATTAATCTTAATCTTAATTTTTAAGTTATAAAAGTTTGATATTAATTATTGATTTATAAAGTTATAAAGTTTGATAGTATTCTTTTATTTTCAGAGTAAATTAGAACATAATGGGATACTATTTTATCCATCTTCACCTTATTCAGCTGGATATCATTATACAGCTTTTTTAAGACCATATAATTTTGGTTACTGGTGTCTTTTCAATGTTTTGAAATTTCCAGTTTGTCAAGTGCCTCTTGGTATTGATAAGAATGGATTACCTATTGGGGTGCAGGTGAAATTTTGAATAATATATTATTGATAATTGAATTTGAAAAAAAGATTTAACTTTATATTTACATATATAGTAAACTTTGGATGCTTGATAATTTAAAAGATAATTTAAAAGATAAAAGATCTTATAATTTTTTTGTTTTAGGTCGTAGCAGCTCCCTATAATGATCATCTATGTTTGGCTGTAGCACGAGAATTAGAGAAAGTATTTGGTGGTTGGGTTCCACCATCTTAATTTATTATAAAATTGATGTTAATTCAATTTAATAATTTATATTAGTAATTATTATCAGATATTATTAATATAAGATTTTTTTTTATATATTGTTATTATGATACATTATTATATTTGTTAATATATAAATAGAATAATAATAAGTTAATAGCATATTTTTATTTTATAACTTTATATAAATATATAAGATATAATAAATATTATTCAAAATAACATTCATATTAAACATAAT